TCGTTTTTTTAATTTAATTTCATATATTTAATTTTGAAGAAAAAGTCAAGTAATTGTAACACTTGTGACAATATCTCAAAGTATAATTAGTAGTGATAGAATATTTTTTTTCTTTCTTTTAACCGTATCCTCTAAGTCAGAGTTCCCCAACCTTTCCGGCTTGGTGGCCTGTAAGGAAAGGGAGCAGCAGGGAAATGTTCGTGTGCACAGCTTGTATGTGCATGTGCAAACGGGTGCGCGCATGACGGTGCTAGTGTGCCCACGCGCATGCACAAATGGGCTGCTGGAGCCCACGTGATGCTGGCAGTGGTGCTAGCGTCCCCGCACATGCACAAATGGGGCCTCTAGTGCCCACATGTTGGTGCTACTGCGAGTGGGACAGGGCTTGCCAGCTATTCCTGGGGCTGGTGGCGAACAGCCGCCGACCTTAGGTTGGGGACCTCTGCTCTAAGTAACCTTACTTAGTATTAGGGCGTTCTCCGGAGAACTAAGTATTCACTTATTTCGAAAGTAGAATAATTTGAGACTGGTCATTTAGGCTTTGAATGAGAATTTTGAGTTGATTTGTTTCATTATCTTAGCTGTTCATGTTATTCTCAAAGAGTCTTCTCCAATACCAAAATGTTCCTGTTATGCTTCTGAAAATTCCAATTTTCAGCTTCATAGAGCAGGGGTCCTCAAACTTTGCAGCTTGGCGGCCTGGCTGTGGGTGAGAGAGGGGAACTGGGCTGCATGAGTGGTGGGCCAGCATGCGCACACAGACCTTGTGTGAGTGGCGGGCTGGCGCATACACCCACAGCTCAACTTAGCGAGCCAGTGTGCGTGAGTGCCCGAGCTGCCGCTAATGCAAGTTGAGCTGCATGTGCGCACTCCGGCCAGCCACTCGCACGGCCCAGTTCTGAATAGCCCACAGCCTGGTAGTGGGCTGTGGTGCAGGGGTTGGGGACCTCTGTCATATTATTGCATACAATTCTAATCTTTGTAAGAATAGAGTCATCACAGTCTTTGAATATCTTTTCCAAGGCTTTCATAGTTGTTCTATTACCAAGTGCTAGTGTGTGATGTATTTCTTGAATTTAACATTTAGATCCTTATGAATAGGTTATACATAGTAATCTATTAATGGATTATTAATATTAATTTTAAGAATTTTTGTTTAACATCAAAAGACAAATAGGCTAATAAATCTTGAATTCCAAGATTATAAAAAGTGTAAAGGCACGGTTTTTCTTAAATAGTAATAAATAAACATCTATTGGCTACTACTTAGAGCCAAATCTCATCTGCAATAGATGACACCTGTGATTTAATCTTTTTTTTCTCAAAATCTATATGATTTACATTTATTAGATGCACATCTTGTTAAATGGTCGCCTAGTGGTGAGATATACGTGGTGGCTATAGCTAACAAAGTTGATATATACGATCTGGAAACGGCTTCTATCTCTGGTACCATTGCTACAGAAAAGAGGATATCTTCAATAAAGTTTATCACTGTAAGTAGAAAAATAGTGTCAAATAATTTAGAACGTTGTAAATGAATCCAATCTCACACACACTTTTTTCCCCCCATGTTTCCTTGAAGGATTCCATACTTGCTATTACAGGAGATGAAGAATTTGTACGTTTATTTGATTGTGAATCTCAAAAATGCCTTTGTGAATTTAAAGCTCATGAAAACAGGTATTTTTTGTTAATAAAATAATTGCATATGTTTAACAACATGTTAATTTTTAACATACTGTTTACTTCTGAGTTTTGTTTGATGATAGTACATGTAATTGCCATAGGGCAGTGGTGGTGAACCTATGGCACACGTGCCAGAGGTGGCACTCGGAGCCCTCTCTGTGGGCACGAACGCCATGCCCCGGAGATGGCAACCGTCCTCTTCAACCAGCCACCTGCTAACTTGCCGAGGTCCCACGTGGCCAGATGCATTCCAGCACCCATGTGCTTGCTGGCCTTTGTGCGGGGCCGATGGTGTCAGGCAGCAGCCGCCCCGGCCCCTGCCTTGCCTTGCCCTGCGACATGGCACTCCCGCCCTGCCTCACCTCTCCCCGCATAACCAGCCTCCTGCCCACCACCCCACCCATCAGAGACCCCTGGATCTCTCCCAACCCTGCCCGGCCCCCACAGGTGTCCCTCCCTAGGAGCAACATGGAGCTGGCCATGCCCACCCGGCGGCCACGCCCACCCGGCACCCGGCAATACATAAGTGGGTTTGGGGTTGAAGTTTGGGCACTCGGTCTCTAAAAGGTTTGCCATCACTGCCATAGGGTTAATATCAAAATTCAGTACTTTACATTTTCAGTATTGGAGTATTTTTATTTAGATCAATCTTTCTCTTTGAACATATCATTTATGTGCTCACCTTTGGAGGAGTTGTATTATAGCTCTGTTGCTGTATTTTTTATGTTGACCATTGGTGAAAATGGATACCATTGGTAAATTAGGCTCTCTGTTTCCTTTCCCTTGCACTTTTTCACATTTTATTCTATCAGATAGTGTTTGGAGTAAAGCAGAGAGGGACCAAAGTAAGATTCCATTGCACGATTCAAAGTTAATTGTTCTTCATATATTGGTAGAATTTGGTTAAGTAATAGTTGTTAGCATTTTGCAATCCTTTTTTGAATATTGTGAATATTTTTTTATTTATTTAAATTTTAAAATGTAATATTATCTCTTGATCCTTAGAATCAAAGCACTGTACAATTTCAAAATGGAAGGCTTACACATTCTAGTAACAGCATCAAGTGATGGCTACATTAAGGCATGGAATCTGGATATTGATAAGGTTTGTGTAGTATCAAACTATTCAAAATATTGTGGAAGAATAGTTAGGAATGTATGAAAAATGAGAGATGATATTCCATTAATAATTACACAAAGAACAAATAGAAGATAAAATGGTTTATACAGCATGTCTATATAAAAAAAAGTAATTGAATGTTCATATAAGAGTGGTTTTTACAAGGATTGGAAGTGTTGTACGAGTGGAAGAACCCCACTGGATACAGTCCTTAAAACTTAGAATTGTGTCTTTAACTTAATTCATGATTTCTATGATACTTAAAGCTGCAGTTTTAAGTAAACTCAATTGGCTTGCTTTAATGTCAGGGAGACTTATTTCTGAATAAACATGAATAGGGTTATGTTGCACTTTACTTAGATGTTATTTTTCAAGAAATATTTTGCAATTAATATATATATATTTTAAAGAGAGGAACTGTCATTTGAAAAGGTAGCATGCTAGGGTTTGAAGGCTTTTGCTTTTGCTTATTTTACAGTTACTTCATTTTAATCATTTGCAAATAATTCCTAACTATATTTTATAAGCTAATTCAGGATTCTCAAACTGAGGGGGATTGCAAACAGGATAAGGTAGAGGAGATGGTTTCATAGTGGTTCTTATTTTTAAACAGTCTGCCTAGGGAGGAACAGCATCATCAGAATTCAGTCTAGGTGTTGCTTTCCATTTCCTCCTAACAAGCCCTCAGTGGGAAATATTTATTAAATGTAAAATTGTACATTATTACATATTGTATATATTATTGTCCTTTTTTAACCTCTTGAAATAATTAGTTCAATTTTGGGAGTGGGAGATCGTGACATCGCAACATTAGAAAATCACTGAAATAATCCATATTTAATAATCCAAATGAAGTTCTCCAGGAATAATGGAAGCCTTTCGTTGTATTCACCTGTGCAGTCTGCCACCGAATAACAATCTAATTGAATTCAAATCTTTCTAACTTTATACTTTTTACTAACTTTATACTACAGAGATACAGGTTTAGTTATAAGTACAATCTGGATTGCTCACAATTATACCTCATCTAAGCATATTTCTTACATTGACCTCATTAGAAACTTTGTAAATGTTGCATCACATTCAATAAAAACTGGGAGACTTGTAATCAATTGTAAACATGTCCTTCCAGAAATGTTCAGTACAATGGATCTTACTCCTAAGTAAAAGACTGTAGCGCAGACTATCCTTAAAACAGCTTTCTAAGAAACAGGGACAGTTGAACAAGTTAGTTCTTTTAAGATAAGGCTACAGAAGTGCATTTGGGATTTTATCTGTCGTTGGTGTCACCATAGTCTGACCAAAGAGAGAAGTAACCTGGAATTAAGGAGAAAGTTCCTAACAGTGAGGACAGTTAATCAGTGGAACAGTTTGCCCTCAGAAATCGTGGGCGCTTCATCACTGGAGATTTTTAAGAAGAGACTGGACAGTCACTTGTCTGAGATGGTATAGGTTCTCCTGCTTGAGCAGGGGGCTGGACTAGAAGACCTCCAAGGTCCCTTCCAGCTCTATTCTATTCTAGTTCTTCATACGCCATTCAAGTTTCAAATTTACTGCTTTGAGTTCTCTGTAAAATAATAATGGCAGGATATAAATAAATAAATACATAAATACTGATAGATCTGCATATTATCCGAGGAAGGAGATGCTGCAGAACCCTACTGATCTTCAATGTGATGACTATTACCTTAGCTGCTAAAAAATAGCATGGTTATTTTTCTGGAGTTTATGTGAATAAATGTCTTGGATTTTTTTTTCTCAGATTGAGAATGCTCCATCATTGCTATGTGAGGTCAATACTAAGGCCAGGCTTACCTGCTTAGCAGTATGGCTCAAAAGAGATTTTGAAGCAGAGCAGATCCCCGTTGAAGCCACAACGTCTTCATCTCAGGGTATTACTGTAGAACTTTCTTAAAATTCTGCCAGGTAAACTGTAATTAAAATTATATAATTGTTTGTTTTATTTTGCAGTACATGAAGCCGAGCAGCCATCACTTAAGAAAAAGAAAATTTGTTGGACCGATAGTAATAAACCCTCAGAGGGAGATGTCCAAAAACCCGTTCTAAAAAGAAAATCAGGAAACATGCAACAAAAGAAGTTACAGAGATTAAAATAAATATGTAGTCGTAATCATATCTCATACTAAATATATAACAAGGAACCAATGTGGTTTTCACTTTAAGACATTTTTCATTTTTAGTACATTCTTAAGAATATTTTATATATTAATGTTTCTAGGAAATAGCTATTATATTTCTGCCATAACAATACCCAGATCTTTTGACTTCTGTTTTTAAGTGTGAAAATATAAGTCTCAAATATTCTACAATGTATGTGAAATTTCCTATTCTAGTATTATTTAAATTAATTTCCAAGTTGCTAATATATTTTGATATTTACACATATTTTCAGGTTTTCTTAGTTTTTTTCATGGAGGCATTATTCATATAAGGATTTTAATTACCAGAGTAAAAATGAATACAAACTAGACTTAAAGAAAAAAGAGTAAGAAAGAATAAAAAATGCAAGAAAAATAAGAGAAAAAAGAGCATAATAAAAAGAATATAAAGAAATGACTTCCAGTTTTCATCTTATTTTAACCTTGATTAAATAAATCAATTTTATATTCCTTTTATTTCTAACAGCTTTAATCTAATTTATTCAAATATTGCCATAGTATTTGATATCTTTACAACTTTTCTTTATCCCTTTGTACAGACTTTTTCAAGTGCTTAACAAGTGTGTTATGTAGATCTACTAAGCAAACATTTTCCAGGTCATTCTCCTGGTTTGTCATTTGTATTTCCCTTTTAATTTTTAAAAATTTCACCAGTTTATCCAATACAGTATTCTTTTCCAAATCATTCTCTTCATCTTTTATTTGTAGTTCCACCTTTGGTACTTTCTGTGTTGTCAGACAAAATTTGCTCTATCTGTCATTTTCTTACTGACATATTTTGACACACATTTATTCATAGAATCATATTATTACTGACACTGATTATATTGCAGCTACTAATTTCTGACTATTCTTCAAAGATTCTTAATCTTTCCAATATTATGACATTCTGTGTCACTTTATGTCTCAGTTAACTGACAATAAAAACTGACGTGTGTTGTTTTCCTTCCAACTAGGATCTAATGTACAGTGTGCAAAATAGTAGTCACTTGTCTTTGTTAGGAACCAAACTCCAGTTTCCAAAGTTAACAACAGCACTGAAGTGACTCCTGACCACTTTTTACATGACTGTTGCAGTATCCTCATGGTCATCTGATAAAAATTCAGACACTTGACAACTGGCATGTATTTATGATGGTTGCAGTGTCCCTAGGTCATGGGATCAACAAAGTCAGGAAACCAGATTCATTTAATAACTCTTACTAACTTAACAACTGCAATGATTCACTTAACAACCGTGACAAGAAAGGTTGTAAAATGGGGCAAAACTCACAACTGTTCTGTTTAGCAATGGGAAGTTTGGGCTCCATTGTGGTCGTAAGTTGAGGACTACCTGTACTTAGTGTCCTTTAAAAGGCTCTACCATGGTAGCAAACAAGTTGGTTCATCCCTTGTCCCCCCAGTGCTTAAACTCCAGGAAGAGCATTAATCTGCAATCTTGCAAGGAGCAGCATCTGGAGCACATGTGGACGATCTCCTGCCCATTCCTTATCCAGAGAGGTTCTGAAGAATTAGTCTACAGTACTTGCCAAAGGTGCTTTTTCAAGAGGTGGCTGGACTTTCATTTTTCTTTGAAGACATTTCACTTCTCATCCAAGAAGTTTCTTCAGCTCAAGACTAGATGGTGGGGAATGGAAAGATTCATATTCCTTGCAGACAGCTGGGCATTTGCATTCTTTTAGACTCCTAGAGGCTACTTGGGTTGTCTGTGTCCTTGGGGTCACATGAGTAGTGCAAATGGGTGTGGAACCTTCTTGGAACTGCTGAAAGGACTTGTAGACTGGAGATGGGTGATGTTGTATCCCTCCCCCTCTTTTGAGAGGGCTGTTCAATTTTGACATAGATGGCCTTTTTGATCCTTCTTTCAAACCAGCAGTCAGTCCTCTCTGTCCAAAATGTGGACTTTGCTGTCTTTAAAAGAGTGGCCTTTGTCTTTTAAATGCAGATGGACTGCTGAATGTTGTCCTGATGGGTTTGTACTATGTTGTGCCATGTGTTTATGAAGTGGTTGTTTTGTTTCCCCAATGTTTCATCTGCATTTATGGCAAAGAATAAATAGCTAAAAGTATTCCAAGACAATCAAAAGAGTAGTCATACTCAAACGGCAGTATGCTCCATTTGCCCCTATGTGCAAGATACGTGCAAGAATTTGGTTTTCCATTTGGATTTGTGGCTTCTAATCAATACTGGGACTGAATTTTGGGGAAGTGGAATGTAACAAGTATGGCTAAATCCACAGAATGGAGATTTTTTTAAAAAGAAAAAAATCTGAAAGGATGAAAAACGGAATCTGTCGAAAATTTGTTACCAATGAATATTATGGAATGATGAAGTAAAATATGCTAAATCAAGAGGAAAGCAAAACATTGGGATAAATATAAGCAAAATGAAATGTATGGAATAGAAAAGAGTTGAAATGAATATGTGCTGTATGCGGACTCTTTATGAACTGAAGGAAATATAATTCAGAGCTGCATTGTATAAACACGTATAAACGTGTTGACTGCTAAGTAAATCCTATTATGCTTAATAATAACTTAATGCGGAGAACTGTGGATAAATGTAGATCTATTCATATATTTCGGGCACTTGTAGATATTCGCCGAGAATCAGACATGATTGACTGGATAGCATCATCACCAACGGTAGAGAGGAGTGCAATTTTACTCCCGTCGTAAATGTACTTGAAAGCTGCGTCTCGCTTCATCATCCCGGAAACCGTTTCGATTTCTGGATCTAGCGAGCCAGCGAGGGATTTTAGATTTACAAAACGACGGTCTCATATTGCAACATTTCGCGTCCATTTTAAATCGCAGTGAGACATTTCCGCGATGTTTAAGTACTGCCCAGGATGGAGCCCCCATTCCCCCCCCCCAAAAGCTAAAGGCCTTGTTCTGATGTTTGACTCCACTTCTGACAAATGGTGGTATTTCGTTCAGACGTCTGACACAGAACATCTGCCTGGAGGTTGCTGGGGACGCAACAAAACACCCCGGAATAATGCAATGGCAACACCGCCGAGAAACTATTAAGGATGTGATCTCCAGTACTTGCGATCTTGTTGAAAGCATCTTAACTTATTGTAATTTGTCTGATTTCTTAAACAGTGTTTCTCAACCTTGACAATTTTAAGGCATGTGGACTTCAACTCCCAGAATTCCACAGCCAGCATTGCTGGCTGTGGAATTCTGGGAGTTGAAGTCCACATGCCTTAAAATTGTCAAGGTTGAGAAACACTGTGCTGGAGGCTATTCTTGTAAGAGATGGACTGAAAACTCTGGGCAATACGCTGTTCGGCCATAGCTTTCGCAAAAGGAAGAAAAAAAAACCCAGCCCGCAACTCCGGGGGTTGTAATGATTGGCCCGTGTCACGTGTATTGCTCTCCTGCAGTTGTTGAACTCCCGGGCTAGTTCGATAGTAAAAGGATCATTTGACAGCAAGCTCGTTTTTCTTACTCTGCAGACCTCTGCAATTGTTCCTGCATCAGAGAGTAAGTAACCACATTTAATGGAGTTTCCTGAGGTTTTGCATTAATAGGAAGCCTTTTGACTCATATTATATTAAGGCAAAGGAAGGGTAAGAGACTTTCAGGGTGTACATATTATTGTACGGTATCCCCGGGTAAGTATAGTCGATAGATGATGAAGTTTTGAGGCAATGCATACGTGCAGCTATAAATCAGATATTATTGAGAGCAAATTAACTTTTCCCATAAAGTGTCATAGGATCGGCAGAATTACCGTAGGTTTAGCCAGTTTGCTCTAGTCTAGTGGTTTAAGGCTAGAAACTAGAAATCGGGAGAAACTGAGTTCAAGCCAGCCTTAGGGTTTGAGTTTAGGTCAGTTACTGTCTTTCAGTCCAATCCATCTCACAGGATTGTTGTTGTGGGGAAAATAGGAGGAGGAAAAAGTATTAGGTATGTTTGCTGCCTTGAGTTATTTAAAAAAAAATAAGGCAGAGTATAAATAAATAAAATAAGAATATTATATTCTCTTGTATGAGAAACACAATAATGATGATCTCTGGAATGAATATGTTTTATTTTACATTTGTATTCATCCTCCCTCCCTGGACTGCAGAATTGAGCTCAAGGTAACTTAATAAAGCAATTCAGGCTGAGAATCTTGTTTTCTTGTCATCNAAAAAAAAATAAGGCAGAGTATAAATAAATAAAATAAGAATATTATATTCTCTTGTATGAGAAACACAATAATGATGATCTCTGGAATGAATATGTTTTATTTTACATTTGTATTCATCCTCCCTCCCTGGACTGCAGAATTGAGCTCAAGGTAACTTAATAAAGCAATTCAGGCTGAGAATCTTGTTTTCTTGTCATCTTATTCTGTTTCTTATTCTGTTTCTCTTCTATTGTACCTGTTTCTTATTCAGCTCAAAACTTAGGCTAAAAAAATATAATTCCAGTCTCAATATGATTTACTCTCTGATCACCATGAATACGATCAAATTTACATGTTGTGTTATGTTCCAGGATGGGATTGGACTGGATTGGCTTTGGTTATGCAGCTTTAGTAGCTTCTGGTGGAATAATTGGCTATGCAAAAGCAGGTAAGAGTATTGGTGTCTTCTTGTTCATAGAGTTCTTAAAATGGAAGGTGGTCAAGTAAGAAGCTTCTTTTCTTCCCAACATGCACTTTTCAGCCTGCATTTTGATAATAAGCTGCTGTTATTATTCTTGTGATAAGATAGTGTTTAACTGTTGCAGGGAATAGATTCCTCCTATTTGAGGTACTGTATTGGAGTGATAATCTCCCAAACCAGCCTCTGCTGTTGCATACTGATATCTTATTGCAACACCCAATTTTGTATGATACAAGTGGCATTGCTTTTGTCTTTATTAATTTATTGTTTTTTCTGTCTTGCATTTTGATCTACTAAAGAGTTAAAAGAAACCCAAAAGCTTTCTGGATAAGTTAGGGCATGAGGACAATTTATTGCTTTAATTAGTGTTTGAAAGATCCATATTCTGTCTTAAGATTCATGAAGTTCAAAAAAAAATAGATATTTTTTCACCAATTAATGGCACACTTTCAATTTCAAAATTGATCTATGAGGTATGACTGATGGTTTCTTGAAAATCAATGAAACTAATGTATTTTAATTTTGAAAGAGAAAAAATATATGCTTTTTAATTGAAGTTTCTCCCTTTCCTGGAGTGCTTTTGAAGGGAATGCAATGTTTCTTCCAGGTCTTTACTCTGATCTAATAGAAGATTCTATGAAGATAACAACTTTGACTTATGTATTCTTGGGAGAAAACAATACATTTTCCTTTGACCAGCACAAGGGCATTTTTAATAAATAACTATGAATCATGTTATAAGCAGGGCTTTTTTTTGTCATAGAATGCCCAGAATGGAGTTCCGGCACCTTTTTTGGAACCTTGTAGGGTAGGCAAGGCGGGTTGTATGACGTGTGTGAGTTCCGGCACCTTTTCTTTTTACAAAAAAAGCACTGGTTATAAGTAATAAATAATAGGGAACTGTGGTGAAAATCAGAATATTGCAACAAAAATCCCCTTGGCCTATCTTCTTTTCTGAGTTTATCTGTATAAATTCCATCTGCCTCCAGAAACCATTTTATGTAAATTTGGTCTTCTGGCAGGATGCTAATTACTCATCCTGGCCTCTGAGGATAAGTGTGAATTGGGGGAACAGATTCAAATTCTGTTTTGTTGTTCTTGTCATTCATCTGAACTCCATTGTGGGTTAGAGATCGTATGGATAAAAATAAAAACAATGAGATCAGTCATGCATTTAATACAACTGCTTGGACAACTTTAAAGAGACTTTTGAGTCCTAATACTAACATGTATTTCTAGAGCCTTTTGAAGTGTATTTATAATTACAGGTAGTCCTTGTTTAAGTACCAGTTGCTTAATAATAATTCAAAGTTAAAATGCCCCCCCCCCAAAGTACTTACATCCTGGTTCTGGAATTGTGACAGCCCCACACACACACATACAGCCTGCAGTCATGTTATTGTATTTTGGGTGTTTGGCTTGCATTTATGGCCTTTTGTATTGTCCCATGATCATGTGACCATGATTTTGCATGTTTTTTGCGGGTTTCTGGGACTTCCAATTTCTAACAAAAAGTAGCCATTGAATAAAATGGATTTAATGACCATAGTGTTCACTTAAGAACAATAGCATCCACTTAACAATCATAGTGTTTGCTTAATGACCATTGCAAAAAGATCATAAATTGGGCATGGTCATGTAGTGACCCACTTAATGAAGGCTACAACTTACAACCATAATTCCAGGCTCAATTACTCTTGTAAGTCGAGGACTACCTGTATGACATCAGTCTTCTTGCAACTTCATAATGGTCTTGTAGAGATGAAAGAAAAATGACTCGATAAAAGAAAATCTAAATGGTCTTTTAATAGAGCTTGTGATGCTTCAGTTCCAAATAGAGTTAACCTGTAAATAGAACAGGAAACATTAGCAATCAATATTGAAAGCCCCTGCAATTTGATTAACAGGACTGTTCAACAATAATTCAAAAACATTGATATTTCCTCAGTCTTTTTACAGTCACCCATCTCCATATATAAAGTCCTCATAGAACTAAAAATGGTCTCCTCTGCCATTTTCAAAGAATAACACAGGATAATCCTCTCTGAGAGTAAAGCTCTCCAAATGTTTATTTCAAATATATCAAAGTCAATGTGAAGTTTTATGAATAGAATGGTATATTAGAGGAAAGCAGGAATACATTTTAAACTGATTACCATTTCCTTTTTTTTAAGGCAAGTAATTAATATTCTAGATAAGTTTGTGAGAGGGGTTAAGGCACCAGGCTAAAAACTGAGAGACCATGACTTCTAGCTGGGTGAACCTGGGCTGGTCATTCTCTCTCATCCTTGGGAAGCGGGCTGTGGCAAACCACTTCCAAAAATCTTGCCAAGATTTTGTAGGGACTAGTCCAGGCAGTTGCCAGGGGTCAAGACACTTTGAAGGCGCACACACAAAAAGATAAGACTGTACTCTTTATATTTTTCATTACTCTAATTAGTTTTATTACCAACATTCAGGAAAGGGCTTCATTTGTCTTTTTTTTAACAATATGCCGATCATTCTTCTTTTCCCTTCTATTATCTCTTGGTTTTCTCCATGCTATCCTCCTTTGCTTTTCTTCTTCCGCTTATAATCTTTTGGATGCCGACATCTTTTAAAATATGGTGTAAATGATGCTTCTTGACTGGTGATGCTTAATCCTTACTGTTTAAGAGATTTACAAGGAAACTAACACCCCAATGAAGCCAAAGGGGGGAAAATCCCAACCAAGGTGTATAGCAACAACAAAATACTACTTTCTGTCCAATGTCTATTTCTTCTTAACAACCACAGTTCATTTTGTTTATTCAAGGTAGTGTCCCATCTTTAGCTGCTGGTCTTCTTTTTGGGGGGATAGCTGGACTTGGAGCATACCAACTGTCTCAAGACCCAAAGAACATTTGGCTTTCTCTGAGTAAGTCTGTCTTGAACAAATAGATATGTAAGACACATAAATATAATTATTACGAGCCTTTGATTTCACTGTGTTTGTTTAATACCATTTGCTCACAGAGTACAATCCCCCAATGGGATTCCTTCCATAGGAAATTGCAAAAATTGTGTGCATTTTTTTTTAAATAAGGGCACTAATGTGCAGTAAGTTAGAGCAAGTAACAAAAACTGGGAAAAGATACTAGTTGGGAAACCACTTGATGGATGAAAACTATAGTGCCAAAAGTAAGTAAAGGCTCCAATAGATTTAGTTCGAAGCCATTATGTTAACCATTAATCAGTATGAGCTATCTCCTTCCCCCAAGAAATAGATGTTAGATAGAATGATGTTATTACTAAAGCTATAACTAACTTTTTAAGAATCATACATAATTGAGTTTATTATTCAAATTTATTTGGATAGTTTGGATTGGTTTGCTCAAAGAAGGCCAAAAGAAGACAAAAGAGAGATATAAAAAAAGGGAAAAAATACATGTCTTTAAAATAAAACCTGATTTTAAAAGCCAGATAAAAAGGGATGTTGGGATGTGTTTGAGATGGAAATGCAAGCATTCTTAAAAAGTGTTCAGTTGAGAATGTTGCCATGTAGGCAGTGCACATTTTGACTCTGAGAGTTTTTAAAGGTAAGATATTGAGCATTGTTGGCTTTTCATTATCATCCTTTTCAGGTTGGCAAGTTCTTTAAGGAAACACCCATGAGATAATAATGCATTGCATGTATTCTGATTTTTTAAAAATAAATTTTTTTATTAGTTGCTTCCGGAACCTTAGCTGGCATTATGGGAATGAGATTCTACAACTCAGGGAAAATCATGCCTGCAGGATTGATTGCTGGGGCAAGGTATTAACTGCATGCTTTTATGTTCTCACTGTTGCATTAAGGGTGCGATCTTGTGTTTTATTAAAGGTAGTGAGATTTGAGTCTAAGGATCAACAAACAGCACCACGCTACAACTGCGTTTTTCAAAAACTGACAATTAGTAAAAATAGCCTTTTTAAATTTTAATAGTTTTAGATTAAATAACATGTTTATTAAATAGGACCAAACTGACATTGAGCAGTCCCCTAGTTTTGGAAAGTGTGGGACTGAACTATATCCAAAATGTTTCTCTTCCTCTTTCTT